CATAAATACTTAATTTGTGAACCTCTACTCCAATATGATGGAAAACACAGAAGAAATGGACAGATTCCCAGATATATATATATGAACTACCAAAGCTGAATCAAGAAGATATAAAAATTCTAAATAAACCAATATCAGTCAGTGAAATTGAAGATTTAATTAAAAATCTACCAATGAAGAAAAGTCCAGGCCCTGACAGATTCACTGCTGAATTCTACAAGACATTTAGAGAAGTCCTAATGCTGCTACTTGTCAAACCCTTTAATGAAACTGAAAGGGAAACAGTACACCCAAAGTCATTCCTGGAAGCAAGCATTACCGTGATACCACAACCAGAGAAAGATCCAACCAAAAAAGATAACTATAGGCCAATCTCTCTAATTAACATAGATGCAAAAATTCTTCATAAGATGCTGGCAAACAAAATGTAGCAAATCATCAAGATCATACACCATGATTCATCCCAAGGATGCAGGGATGGTTCAACATATGCAAATCAGTAAATGTAATACACCATATGAACAGCGCCAAAGACAAAAGCCGTATACTCATTGCAATAGACCCAAAAAATAGCATTTCACAAAGTCCAACACTTATTCATGATAAAAACTACAAAAATTTGCAATAGATGGTCTATATCTCAATCTGATAAAAACCATCTATGACAAACCAACAGCCAACATTATATTAAATGACAAAAAACTGAAAGCTTTCACTCTGAAATCAGGAACAGCACAAAGATGTCCATTGTCACCACTTTTGTTCAATATGGTTCTGCAAACATTATCCAGAACAATTAGACAAGAGAAAGAAATAAAAGAAATAAGGATAGGAAAGGAAGAAGTTAAATTATCATTATTTGTGGATGACATGATACTGTACCTAGAAGACCTCAAAAACTCCACCAAAAGACTTTTAGATTTGATAACCAAATTGAGTGGCGGAACTGGATACAAAGTCAACACTCAAAAGTCAATAGCCTTCCTGTATACAAATAAAAGACTCAGAGAGAGAGAAATTAGAGAAACAATCCCTTTCACAATAGCATCCAAAAAAATGAAATACCTAGGAATCAATCTAACGACGTAAGTAAAAGACCTCTACATTGAAAACTACAGTACTCTGAAAATGGAGATGGAGGATATCAGAAAATGGAAAGATATCCCTTGTTCTTGGACAGGAAGAACCAATACAGTGAAAATGGCTATACTTCCAAAATTATCATACAGATTCAATGTAATTCTAATCAAAATCCCAACAGCATATCTCACAGAATTAGAAAAAACAATCCTAAAATTCATTTGGAACCAGAAGAGAACTAGAATAGCAATTCTGGGCAACAAAGGTAAAGCAGGTGGTATCACAATTCCTGACTTTAAATTATACTATAAAGCTATGGTGATAAAAACAGCATGGTACTGGCAAGAGAACAGACCTGAGGATTAATGGAACAGATTAGAGGGTGCACAGACAACTCCAAACATTCTCAACCACTTTATTTTTGACAAGTGAGCCAAACACCTTCAATGGAAGAAAGCCTCTTTAATAAATGGTGCTGGAAAGGCTGGCTTTCCACATGCTGAAGACTAAAACTAGGCCCATATCTTTTACCATGCACTAAAATAAAATCAAAATTGATCAATGATCTAAATTTTGTTTTTTGTACTGGGGATTGAACTCAGTACCTTGCGCTTGCAAGGCAGGCACGGCACCCCTGAGCTAAATCCCTAGCCCTCAAAGATCTAAATATTAAAACAAACACTAAATCTGCTGGAAGATAGAATAGGTATGTACAATGCTTGAAGACATTGATATAGGCAAAAACTTAATAAATAAATCCCTGACTGCAGAGGAAATTTCACAAAGAATCAACTCGTTCTCATCTTACTAAAAAGCTTTTGCACAGCAAAAGAAATCAGAATTTTTCCAAGCTATTCCTCAGATAAAGAACTAATATCTAGAATATGTTATATAAAGAACTGAAACTAATAAGATGCCCTAGCTAGATTTAAAGGCCCAATCTAAAAATGGGTATCTGAAATGAATATACACTTCTCAGATGAAGTACAAATGGCAAATAAATATATGAAAAAATGTTCAGCATCATTGGTCACTCGAGAGATACAAATTAAAACAACTCTGATATTCCATCTCACTACAGAAAGAATGGCTATTATCAAGAAATTAACCAATAACAAATGCTGGCGGGGGTGTGGGGAGAAAGGAACTCTTCTCTGCTGTTGGTGGCAGTGTGGACTGGTGCAGCCACATGGAACTCAGTGTGGAGGTTCCTCAAAAAAGCTAAAACTAAAGGTTCCATTTGACCTTGCTGTTCCCCTCCTTGGTATCTTCCCAAAAGAATGAAAAGCATCATACGACAGCGATATATTCACACCCATATTTATAGCAGCACAGTTTGTAATAATGAAATCTCAGAAACAGCCCAAATGCCCATCAAATGATGAATAGATGAAGAAGGTGTGGAGTTTTTTTTATATAGTGGAGTATTACTCTGCCATAAAGAAGGATGAGCTTGAGACATTTTTAGCTAAATGGTTGCACCTTGAGACCATACTCTTAAGAAAAAGAAATCACCCGGTACCGAAAAAAAAAAAAAAGAAAACAAAATCAGACACACATGTGTAAATATCACATGGTTTCTGTGGTATGAGAAACTGAAAATGTAAGTAAGGACCAAGATGTATAATAGATACTAGTGTTGTGCCCAGATCACGAAGTCCCCAAAGACCACCAAGGAGCCGATTCCAATGCAAACGCATGAGGGTCGTTTATTCAAGCTCGAGCAGGGACTCACAACCGTCACCGGCGCAGCGGATCAGGATTGAGAGCCCTGAATTTCAAATTAGCAGGGTTTTTATTGTGGTTACAGCAAGGTTTGGGGATTTTCCACTTAGCAGTTACATGATTGGTTGACATTTAGCAAGTATGAAGTGTACATTTCTGATTGGCTAGGTTCATCGGGGGGTTGAGGGGCGGTTACATGTAGGTTTTACGAGGGAAATGAGGGACAAAGGTTGGTGGTCGACTGTCATGTACTGATGGTCAGCAGACACACTATTAGTCACGACCATTACGTACTGACAGTCAGCACATCTACAGATTGTTCTATGGATAGGGGGCCGGAACATTCTTTTCCTAGGCAAACAGATGGTTGAGTAATTAACTTAAGAACTTTGCTTCGGTACAGATTGTGTCTTTTGTCCCAGAGCATGCACATTTTAACCATTAATTTGTGAGAGACTAGGGGAGTGGTGTATTTTAGCAAAATGGAGTCACTTTGGTCTCACACTGGGAAATAGGAAGCAAATATTCAAATGAGAAGAGGAACAAGGGAAGTGGGAGGGGGAAAAGAAAGAAGGAACAAAAGAAAAAAAGAATGGAAGGAAAAAAATAGAAACAAAGGTTTTGTAGATAAAGAGGGGAGGGTGTTATTCAGAAGGAAGGGAATGGGAAAAAGAGAAGAATCAAGATACATCATGTGCAGGTACAAATTCCCTATGATGAATGTTATATCTGAAATGTACCAATAAATGTAAAAAAAGAACAGTATTTTAGAATGATAGATTTTTGTCCATGTGAATC